TTGCAACATATATACTTTACTTTAAAATAGTAACTTAATGACAACAAGAATCATCAAAATGCTTTATTATATCACCAAAATTTATTTGTTTTATGGAATAGATACCTTCACATTGTAAACCAATTGAAAATTTTAAATAAATTAATAATTAAACATAATATCATTGCCATTGTTATTAAAAAAAAAATGAAAAAAAAAGTTTACAAATTATGGAATAAGTAATTTACATATATCTTAAGAAAAATGGCTTTAAATTTACTGTAGCAAAAAGTCATCGTATAACTACCAAAAAAATCTAAAAGTTTTCGAAATGGTAAATTACTTGAAAACTCTCTAGATAGCTATATATCAAATACTATATAAAAATAACACTAATATCCAATGATTTTAAATTTACAATTTAGTTTATATCATTAATTATAAAATTATTTTCATAGTTTACTGATGTAAGTGACACTAACTTAAAGAAGTCTCGCGTGACTCTTAGAAAAGACATGGTAGAGAAGGCTGTGGAGTACTTCAAACGCAAACATAGAGAAATTACATTGGATGCAATTAAAACTTATATTACCAAAAGATATCATATAGAAATAGAATATAAGAATGAGGAAATCTTGCTTTGGGTTTTACATGCGAATCGTGACACTCAGGATTCAGATAAAGCAAGTACTTCAAAGGCGGCTCGATCTTCAGATTCCACATAATTGTTACTGTTCTCAAACAAATATAGCGTAGACGAAAATATATATGTTAAGATGAGTTCATTCATATAAAAGGACATTAAATAAGCGTTACTCAAAGTACTACAACGTATTCCATTTATATACCTATATGACTGCTATGTTCCATAAGAGGAGAGAATGAATTTAAAACTATGTACACAAAAATTGAAAATATTTCTAGCGCAGTAAATGACAAAAGCCAAACAAAAAAATTTATTTAATTTTTTAATAATTTTAATTTTTCAAAGTAATACTTAAATTTCGATCTTATTTTATATTCATATAGTTTTAATATGACCAACAGAAAAAAATTATAGTTGTGTTCCAATGGATGAAACTGCGTGCTTTTTGAATATGTGTTTAGGTGGTGGGCTATTCGGCTCGAGAATGATGAATTATGATCTGGCTAAGAAGAGACATATAATGTTTCAACTATTCATATGTTCGAACGCGATATTCAAGATGATTATGCCGTAGGTCAGCTAGCCACCACATATTTAAAAATTTATATAAATACCTATTTTGTATAATATAATATATATAATAATATATAATATATATAACATAATAATTTTGAAAGAACGCTGTAATATCATTTAAATTGTATGGTCGCTTTTAATATGCCTTTTTAGAACAAGCGCCACATTCGTTGTTGGAATATATATTTAAGTGAAAATGCAATATATGCAATCTTATCGTATAAAGTTATATCAAAGTGCATCGTAGAAAGTCTCCTTAAAAGTCGATATGAGGTCTTTATGACAGTTTAAAGCTATGCTATCACCGGCAATATTCTCAATTATCATTCTGCCATTATTCTCTGTTCTTCTTTATTCTTCGTTAACTTTTTCATCTAAAAGCTTTAATAATATCATCTACATTTTAATCCATTCACTCTCTTCTTTATTCTTTCCCAGCTTTTTTATCCAAAAGCTGTTGCATTAGCTTTAATGGAATCCATTAACCATCCTTCATTGCTGGCGGTAAGAGGTGTATAATTGAGAATCAATTTCTGTGCACAGTGTTCTTCATTCCTAAGAGATGAACAATCCATCTTAACATCTCAATTTTGAAGAATTTTAGAAGATCTTTGGTTTTGGGTTAGTTTAAAAACTTAACATTTCTTTTTACTATGTAGTCGAGTTCATTTTTTTTCCTCAAGATATCTCTATTATATTAGTCATTGCCTATATTTTGGTGCTATACGTGGTATCACTATTATAACATTTTTTTTTCAATATTATTAGCTTGCATATTCTTAATAGAAATTTATATTAAAATGAGTTTATATTTATTTATTATAAAGAGTTGGTCATTTATTATTATTATTAAGAGTTGTTATTTATTGGTATTTTAAGGTGACGGATGTGTATTTAAATCCGGTTACTTGGCAAAATTTAGATTCTTACTCATCCATTTCTGTTACCAGGTAACATCTAAACTGGTATGGGAGTGCATTGACAAGCTGAACATACTTGGCTGGAACAATCAGGTGCACCTATTATGGATCCCGGGACATGTTGATATCCCAGGCAATCAAATGGTAGACAAACTTGCAAGAAGTGGTGCAGTCTCAAGAATGATAGGCCCAGAATCATTCTGTGGTCTAGACAAAGGAACTCTATCTATTCTTATGAACCAGAACTCTAACAATCTAAAATGCTGTTAGGGACTTACAACCTAAAACGCTTCAAAGATTGCATAGCACAATCAGAAAACAACCTAAGAATTATTACGGGCCTATTGACCGGTCACTGTAGATTGAACAATCATCTAACGAAGTTAGGAATTTAATCCAACTCAGACTGCAGATACTATAGAGAAGTGAGAGAAACTGCTTACCATGTGCTTGGCGAGTGCCCGGCACTGATGCAGAAGCGAAAGAAACACCTAGGAGGGTATTTCATGGATCATAAATATTCAAGACTAGGAAAGGTAGGCTCTATACTGTCTTTCATTAAAGAAATCGAACTTGTAGAAACACTCTACCCCGAGTAAGGGGCACAATAGATCTTTCAGGTCGCAGCGCACAATCCCTTATTTTAACGGATAATAATAATAATCCATTTCTGCTGATACTTAGTGAAGACAAACATAGAAAAACAAACATAGAAAAATATATTGAATTAATAATAAATAAAAATGCATATAGTATATTTTTTTTAAGAGTTTTATTAATTTTTTTTTAATAGTTTGACTTGATATAATATTTTTATTTAGTCAATGAATATAATAAATGTAAATTTCATGATTTTTCTAATAAATGTAATTTATTCGAATTTATTTGAATTTATTTTTGCTTTTGTTTTTGTTTTTGTTTCAATGACATATGTTCGTGGTTATTTAAAAAAAAACGTGGTTCTATTTGTCAAGTAGAGTTTTTTTTGTATTTTAATTTTTTATTTAATTTTAAATTTATATAAGATTATTTGTTTTTGTTCTCTCTGCTACAATTTATGCTATTTTATTTTGCTAATACATATTTTTAATAAAGTAAACACCGATATATATGTAATCATATTAAAAATTTAATGTAATAAGAACAATGCATTTTTTGTTTTTATTATTATTTAATAAAAATTTATACTGAGTAGACTTTTTGGTTTAATAATTTTTTTTTCAGCTTTGTTTTTTTTTGTTTGTTTTTATTGTAAAGTATTTCAAAATATTTTTTTTTTAAACTAATATCAATAAATTTTCTAAGCTAATTAATATAATAAATATTTAAAAATATTTCAATTCATTTTTGTATCAATATATATTTGTATTTAATAGAAAAACATTTTATCTAATAAAATTAGAAAAAAGGTAAAGTAAATATCATAAATAGTTATTAGTAAATAGATACATACATACAATAATATACATATACATATATATATATATTATATATACATATATTGTGGAAATATAAAACAGACTTAAGTTACCTTTAATGTTAATTTTCATTTTGGTTTTATTAGATTATATATAAGAATATGTTTTATATATTCTCTCTTTGTATATAATCATTTAAGAGCAAATTTTTTCTTAGTATTTTTGCTTATAATTCTAATATTTTGTAGGCATTTTAATATAGTTAAATTGTTTGCTTTATTTTTAATTTATTTTTGAAAGTAATTTTTCTTAGTTTTTAAATTATATTTTTATTGTAACAAATTTTTTCTATATATCTTCACTATTTTTCACCCTTTCCAAGTTTTATTTTGTTTTGATATTTTCATTTTTTAATTCTATATTTTAACAGAATTTTGGTATATAGTGTTAACCTAGTTTAAATATTTTTTATTTTGTTTTAAAATAAAATAATATTAAAATTTTTTTTATTATATTTTTTAAGCTTGTCAGAGTTTTTGAAATAATACGTTATAAAGGCAAGAATAATTTAAAAAAAAATTATTAAAAGTCAACATTGATCTTTTTACCATACTACAGCTAAAGTAAAGTTGAAAGAAAAAAAATCTAGTCATTTAAAAAAACTATGTATACCGAGAATATGTAGTTTATTATATATACAAACAGTTACAATACACCCCATCATATAGAGAATAAAAATCTGAAGCCAGTTTCAACAGTTGTATTAATACTATATAAGATTTGGGATTATATCCGATTTGGATTTTTGAGTAGTTGACGTAGCTCAATTATATGGAATAGTGAAATATATTTTTTTTTATATATACATATAAGCAGAAAACTAAAATACTTATTGTTAATCTTTAAAAGTGAGGATTCAATATATATTTTATAATGAATTAATAATAATTTATAATTAGTGTGCTTTAGATGATATATGAAGATAGTCAGGGGAGGAGCTGGAGAGCAGGGATGGGCTCCAGAAACAATCAAACCATTTTTCTTGAAGAACTAGTTTTTAAAAAAATATTAAATAAAAAACTTTCTTACACCTAACACCTATTTGATTACTATTAACAAGAGCATTATATTAAATATCAGGAATCTGTTTTTTTTATGAAGTACTTCTTCGACACACTTTTACGAAGCTCATCGCTCCATATGCCTGCAGTTTACTGCGGTCATGAACATAGTTATATTCATGGACTAAGAATTTATTGTTTTGAAATTGCTTTGATG